GTCGGCCCAGCAGGAATGTTACATGCCAGAATCCACATGTGCCCCATGTATGCATCACTGACCCGCACACACCCGTGTAACCGCGAGGGTCGGCTCTGATACCAATTGTAACGACTCGACAAAACCCACTGGTTCCTGGCCGTTGTGCGTGGGATTTAGACTGGCCCCACATACCAACACTAGTCTTTCCTGCGCACTTTGTCCTCACTCGTGCGCACCTGGGTCAATCACCCATCCTCAAATTGCTCCAAGCCAAACAAGCTTAACTTTGAGGTTCCTTCCGGTTGGGCTCCCAGAAAAGAAGGCACACCTTGTTTATATGAGTAGTCTATCATTCCTATTAAGCTGGGATGTCACACTCAATTACTCATGCATGGCTAGTTTAAACATACCTAGAAATACCTGTGACAAGGTCACCCCCTTAATCTTGTTCTTGTTTGATCACCTCCTCTCTCTGCATCTTAGCATTGCCGATTCGTCGTCAATGAAATTAGCATGCCCCTTTTCCATCTTCGGGTTGCAGAACTTCTAAATGAAGCCTCTTTAGTCCTGGCGGTTATAGCAGCAAGCCTTTGCGTTGTCAAAGGTGCAATTTTCTTGTCGGGGTCATGTCTGCGTATTCCCATCTCTGCCCTGGAACCTCACTTGGCGCGTGCGGGTGGTAGGTGCTCACCTTCCTCCTTATTGGGTTTTCCTTGAACGCCTTTAGCTGCTAAATACTCATTTGCGCAATATCACACCCAAGTCGCTGAATTGGTTGAGGGTGCAGAGGATTTTCACTAGCATTGGTGTCAAGGCTTGCAACATGTTACCAACTATATACAATTCTTTTGTCTTCTCTTCTAGGCATGTAGCATTTACATCTTGCTTATAACAGGGATGACTCACGTAGACCCATCAAGTGACCAGCCTTCGTGCATGCAGATGTTGTAGAATTCATCCTTGGTGGTCTGCGGCTTGGTTTTCATCACTAGGTTGATGCGCGCATAGATTGTCAATGAGATGCAAATGTATGTGGAGCTTGCTATATGGGATGCTGTAGTCATTCCTCAAAGGAGTCAATCATTGATTATGTCACCTTGGCCAGCCCAAATCTTTTTTAGGGTCGCCGTATGAATTGAGCTAAATGCAGTTGAAGCGGATGCAGTTAGAATCTTTAGGACAGTCATACAGTAACTTTAAGAGGAATAATTGTTCAAAATTTCAGAAGCTATACACTACTGGGTTTGTTTCTTGTAACATATTGTTTCCTTTCAAACTGCCAGGGTCTGCCAGGTATATCTAGGTTGCAAGTTCATACCAAAAAAGACGATCGATCTTTGGGCTCTGAAGTTCAGGCGTCACTCAATCAGAGTGTACAAACACATGATGAACTGTTAGTTACGGAAAAGAGACGTGGCAGCTATAATTGTGACGCTGGTACCAAAGGTGATTGTGAAATTGGTGAGAATTCAATAGAAGGGTCATATTATGAAAATCGAGATGCTGTACGCAACAACATTGCGAAGCATGGTTTTGGTAATGCTGAACGGCATGTTCTTATAACTCTCCTTTTCTCCATCTGTTCTATTTTTATTATTTCCATATAGTGACATTTTTTTGGCTCTTTGGATCCTTTAATGCATATTTGACATCATTTTGATATTGAGAAAATTATTGCAAGTACATGCTGGGTATGTATGCTTGGCCTGTCACGGCAATATTCTTTTGGTAAATATTGGCTTAATTAAGAAAAACATCAGTGCAAGGTTTTGCCGTTGTGTTTTAGCTCGCCAGCGAGTCAATTGGTTACCTGTCAGAGTATGTTACTAAGCCATGGTTGTTTTCCTGCACCAAATCATAAATATTCTATTGCTTCCCTAAAAGATAAATATTCTATCGCACAAGTGACAAGTCCTCATTCTACCAGTGGGCATCAGTTTTATTTGTATGTTTGTACTCATGACACAGCCGCTATATCACTAACCCTTTTTGTTCCTTCTGTTGTATACTGTAGATTAATGCATGAGGGAAGACTATCAGCATCATCGGGAAATAGAAGTTCCCATCTTTCTATTACTGAGTTGAAGATCAGTGGTGAACCAGTTGAGAAGCTCTTCTTATGGGGCCAATCTGCTTGTGCGTTTACTGTTGGAGGAGAGCAGCAGGTCCTAACTTTCGGTGGTTTTGGAGGACCAGGAAGACATTCAAGAAGGAATTATTCCCTTCTGCTTGATCCCACATCTGGTTTGTTGAAGGAAATAAACGTTAAAGGTTCACCTTCACCACGGATGGGTCATACAACTACTGCAGTAGGCAACCATATTTATGCTGTTGGAGGTAGGGCTGGTCCTTCAGAAATTCTTGATGATGTCTGGGTTTTGCAAAGCACAGAAAATAGATGGTCAAGAGTAGAGTGCAGTGGGGATATTTTCCATCCAAGGTACTGAAATTCCTGATGACTACACAAAATTAGGGTAGTACATAATGATAATAATATTATAAAGACATTCATTTCATGGAAGTCTTTCGTCCTGTATGCAGGCACCGACATGCTGCTGCAGCAGCAGCTTTGAAAATATATGTATTTGGTGGACTCAGTAATGAAGGCATATATTCTTGTCTGAATATATTGGACACAGAAAGCATGCGATGGAATGTGATTTCTGCTGCTGGTGAATGGCCATGTGCTCGACATTCACATTCTCTGGTGTCTTATGGGTCAACACTGTTCATGTTTGGGGGTCATGATGGTCAGCGGGCACTGAATGATTTTTATAGTTTTGATACAACAACACTTAGTTGGAACAAAGAAATCACTAGCGGAAGAACTCCCTCTCCTAGATTTTCACATTGCATGTTCATCTATAAACACTATATTGGGATACTTGGTGGTTGCCCAATCAGAGAAAACAACCAAGAAATAGCATTGCTACACTTAAAGCATAGAGTCTGGTTCCATGTCTCCATTCCAGCTCTAGGTCAATGCCTTTGTGTGCGTAGCTCATCTGTTGTCACCGATGATGATCTTGTTGTTATTGGCGGTGGTGCATCTTGCTATGCATTTGGAACAAAATTTTGTCAACCAGTAAAAATTGATCTTCATTTGCTGGAGTCAGTATTTGAACTTGCTTACAAGAAGAACGACAATGCCGTACAGAGTTGGGATGCAACATATACAATGGATTTACAAGAACGTGAGCAAAATGGCACCTTTATTAGTCATAACGTGAAGTCAATGGTTGATGCTGCCACTAATGGTATTGCTGGTTCAGATCCTCTGGTTTTCCAATTGGAAAAGAAATATGCCAAATTAGCGAAGGATATTCTAAAAAAGTTTGGATGGTTGGACCTTGCTAGAAAAGTTCAAGTGAGCCAGGATAATGTCCTTGTTCTTTTTCCTGTTAGTAGAAACTTCCACACCTTACTCACTGATCAACATTCCAAGCTGCTAGATGATGATTCATGTATCTCTAAAGGACTACTTGGATGTCCGGAAAAGAAGCTTATCGGTGCTAGCATTGCTCTTCATGAAGCATTGGAAATATTATCATCGTTTCATGGTTCTTTTTTGAAAGATGAACTAGCTCTCAGCCGAAAAGCTTATAAATCTCCTCAAATCATCATGAGAGAACTTATATCTTCTCTACTGGAAAGAAAAGGAATGCCCTCTCGGTTGTTAGAGCAGCTGCCAACTAGGTCTGTTCTCACTGACCTGCTTAGAATAGGTGAACTTATTATTCTGAAAACTAGAAGTACAAGTAGTATGGAAACATACTTGTTAAAATAAAAATATATGTCTTGTTCAGACATCTTACTTGCTGAATTTTTAATTTTTTGATGCCCAGGTGGGAAACCTTAGGTGATATCACCGTGCTTCCAAAGACTTGTTTTAAGGACCTGCTGTGGGAATCAGTTAGAGAAGAACTTTGGCAACTAGTTGCCAAGTCGCTTGGGGCGCAACGTCTTGCACGCCAAGTAAGTTACTATGAGTTTCCACTCTCTAAGTGGCAGTAAAATACTTGGAATCTGAAACTAAAACAGTTGTCCTGTCATATTATAGATTATAATATGTCGTGTCCACTTTAAGCACATACTTCCTGATGTAAGGTGCTGCTTATTGAATAACTTATAACATCTATGTGTTTCCATTAGCAGGTTAAAAGCAGTTCCTTCTTTTGAGGATGTGAATATGTGATTGACTTGGTCTTCCTGTTTTGCAGGGGAAAATCATGCCAAATGGCACAAGAGATAGTACATTAGAACTTCTTGTGGGTGATAATGGGTGGGTAACCCATAATGAAAATGGCATCTCTTATTCACTCGATGCAACAAAATGCATGTTTTCTTCTGGTAATCGCTCTGAGAAGCTTCGAATGGGACAGCTTGATTGTAGAGATGAAGTGGTTGTGGACTTGTTTTCCGGAATTGGATACTTTGTGCTCCCATTTCTTGTGAAGTATATTCTCGATGACATCCTTGGTCTTAGTTCTAAGTGATTTTCTTCCGCTGCAAAATATAATCCTTATTTCTTTGCAGGGCTAATGCGAAGTTGGTTTATGCATGTGAATGGAATCCACATGCTCTGGAGGCTCTTCAGCGGAATGTAATGGACAACCATGTAGCAGATCGATGCGTTATACTTGAAGGAGATAACCGTTTGACAGCACCAAAAGTATGCGGTGAACACATTTCATTTGTTGAGCTAAATACCTGCACTATGATTGCTGCTTACTGTTTTCCTTCCTTTAATTAGGGGGTTGCTGATCGTGTTTGTCTTGGGCTGATACCCTGCAGTGAATGTAGCTGGGCTACTGCTGTTAGGGCTTTGAGGTAATTTCTCTTCACCACCACCACGGTGCTAACTACTTTGGGAGCTTCTCGTTGACTGATTCCTTGCTGTTAGTGCTTGCAAGCTTAGTTTGGCCTACTCCATGGGACCAGCTGGGATTACATTTTAAGTCATAAAGATTAATTCAATAATGTTATTTTTCGAGAAAACGCAAATGGCCTTTGCGTTTCATTGCATTGGACAACAACAACAACAACAACAACAAAGCCTTTAGTCCCAAACAAGTTGGGGTAGGCTAGAGGTGAAACCCATAAGATCTCGCAACCAACTCATGGCTCAGGCACATGGATAGCAGGCTTCCACGCACCCCTGTCCATAGCTAGCTCTTTGTCGATACTCCAATCCTTCAGGTCTCTCTTAACGGACTCCTCCCATGTCAAAATCGGTCGACCCCGCCCTCTCTTGACATTCTCCGCACGCTTTAGCCGTCCGCTATGCACTGGAGCTTCTGGAGGCCTGCGCTGAATATGCCCAAACCATCTCAAACGATGTTGGACAAGCTTCTCCTCAATTGGTGCTACCCCAACTCTATCTCGTATATCATCATTCCGGACTCGATCCTTCCTCGTGTGGCCACACATCCATCTCAACATACGCATCTCCGCCACACCTAACTGTTGAACATGTCGCCTTTTAGTCGGCCAACACTCCGCGCCATACAACATTGCGGGTCGAACCGCCGTCCTGTAGAACTTACCTTTTAGCTTTTGTGGCACTCTCTTGTCACAGAGAATGCCAGAAGCTTGGCGCCACTTCATCCATCCGGCTTTGATTCGATGGTTCACATCTTCATCAATACCCCCATCCTCCTGCAACATTGACCCCAAATACCGAAAGGTGTCCTTCCGAGGTACCACCTGGCCATCAAGGCTAACCTCCTCCTCCTCACAGCTAGTAGTACTGAAACCGCACATCATGTACTCGGTTTTAGTTCTACTAAGCCTAAACCCTTTCGATTCCAAGGTTTGTCTCCATAACTCTAACTTCCTATTTACCCCCGTCCGACTATCGTCAACTAGCACCACATCATCCGCAAAGAGCATACACCATGGGATATCTCCTTGTATACCCCTTGTGACCTCATCCATCACCAATGCAAAAAGATAAGGGCTCAAAGCTGACCCCTGATGCAGTCCTATCTTAATCGGGAAGTCATCGGTGTCGACATCACTTGTTCGAACACTTGTCACAACATTATTGTACATGTCCTTGATGAGGGTAATGTACTTTGCTGGGACTTTGTGTTTCTCCAAGGCCCACCACATGACATTCCGCGGTATCTTATCATAGGCCTTCTCCAAGTCAATGAACACCATATGCAAGTCCTTCTTATGCTCCATATATCTCTCCATAAGTTGTCGTACCAAGAAAATGGCTTCCATGGTCGACCTCCCAGGCATGAAACCAAACTGATTTTTGGTCACGCTTGTCATTCTTCTTAAGCGGTGCTCAATGACTCTCTCCCATAGCTTCATTGTATGGCTCATCAGCTTAATTCCACGGTGATTAGTACAACTCTGAACATCCCCCTTGTTCTTGAAGATTGGTACTAATATACTCCGTCTCCATTCTTCTGGCATCTTGTTTGCCCGAAAAATGAGGTTGAAAAGCTTGGTTAGCCATACTATCGCTATGTCCCCGAGACCTTTCCACACCTCAATGGGGATACAATCAGGGCCCATCGCCTTGCCTCCTTTCATCCTTTTTAAAGCCTCCTTCACCTCAGACTCCTGGATGCGCCGCACAAAACGCATGCTGGTCTCATCAAAGGAGTCATTCAGTTCAATGGTAGAACTCTCATTCTCCCCATTGAACAGCTTGTCGAAGTACTCCCGCCATCTATGCTTAATCTCTTCGTCCTTCACCAAGAGTTGGCCTGCTCCGTCCTTGATGCATTTGACTTGGCCAATATCCCTCGTCTTCCTCTCCCGGATCTTAGCCATCTTATAGATGTCCCTTTCACCTTCCTTCGTGCCTAACCGTTGGTAGAGGTCCTCATATGCTCGACCCCTTGCTTCACCAACAGCTCGCTTTGCGGCCTTCTTCGCCATCTTGTACTTCTCTATGTTGTCTGCACTCCTATCCAGGTATAGGCGCCTGAAGCAATCTTTCTTCTCTTTAAGCGCCTTCTGGACATCATCATTCCACCACCAGGTATCCTTATCTTCGCTTTTCCTTCCCCTGGACACTCCAAACTCCTCCGAGGCCACCTTACGAATGCAAGTCGCCATCTTCATCCACACATTGTCCGCATCCCCTCCTTCCTCCCAAGGGCCCTCCTTAAATACCCTCTCCTTGAACACCTGAGCTACCTCCCCCTTGAGCTTCCACCACTTCGTTCTAGCGACCTTGGCACGCTTATCCCGCTGGACACGAATCCGAAAGCGGAAGTCAGCAACCACCAGCTTATGCTGGGTACAACACTCTCCCCAGGTATCACCTTACAGTCTAGGCACGCACGCCTATCTTCTCTTCTCGAGAGGATGAAATCAATCTGGCTAGAGTGTTGGCCACTACTAAAAGTCACCAGATGTGATTCTCTCTTTCTAAAGAGGGTGTTAGCTACAATCATGTTGTAGGCTAGAGCAAAGCTTAAGACATCTTCTCCTTCTTGATTCCTGATGCCATAGCCAAAGCCCCCATGCGCCCCTTCAAAACCTGTGTTAGATGTACCCACGTGGCCATTGAGGTCTCCTCCTATGAAGAGCTTCTCACCAATCGGTACACTCCTAACCATGTCTTCCAAGCCTTCCCAGAACTCCCTCTTGGTGTTCTCATTGTGGCCTACTTGCGGGGCATATGCGCTGATAACATTGAGAACCAAGTCCTCAGCTACCAGCTTGACCAGGATAATCCGGTCCCCACGTCTCCTGACGTCTACCACTCCATACCTGAGGCTCTTGTTGATCAAGATGCCTATGCCATTTCTGTTTGCAGCCGTCCCTGTGTACCACAGCTTGAAGCCGGTATCCTCCACCTCCTTCGCCTTCTGTCCTCTCCATTTGGTTTCTTGGACGCAAAGGATATCAACACCTCTCCTCACTGCTGCATCAACTAGCTCCCGAAGCTTCCCTGTCAGAGACCCTACGTTCCAGCTACCTAAGCGAATCCTCCTAGGCTCGGCTAGCTTCCTTACCCTTCGCACTCGTCGAGTCAAATGCGAAGACTCTTGCTCATTTTCCACTACATCCGGGCGCCGATGTAGCGCGCCACTAAGGATGCGACGACCCGATCCTCGCTCACTTGCCACCGTATCCGGATCAAGATACGGCGCGCCACTTGGGGGGTGACGGCCCGGCCCTTGCCCATTTTCCACCACACCCGGGTTCCGATGTGGCGCGTCGCTGAGAGGGTTACGCCCCAACGAAAATCTTTTGGGTTTCATCTCCATAAGAGTGGCTGAGTTTTTACGTTGGCTCGCCAAGCCTATCACAACCCTCCTCCTTTACCCGGGCTTGGGACCGGCTATGTTGAGACAACATAGGCGGAGTTGCGTTTCATTGCATTGGAAAGATAGGGAATTTACATCCTCCTAGGAGGCAGATTTACACAGTTGTCAGGTGATCAGTGGACATCCCATGATGATGGCAAAACGACCCTGAGCCCTTGAGCCCCGGCCTTTGCCCAACATCGGGCCTCATCCTTGATCCTGTCGACAAGCTCATTGAGCGATGGGCCCACATGGTCAAAAACGCACGCATTCCTGTGTTTCCAGATCATCCACGGCACCAAAAGCGCCACGGATTTCAGCGCCTTACAGATCGCTGGCGGTGTGGAGTCCTTCGCGCGCAGCCACCAGTCCATGAGCGAGTCGTCGTGCTCGGGCGTCGGCACCGGTAAGCGCAGCCAAGCTAGGATCTCGTGCCATGTGTGAGCGAAGGGGCACGCGAGCATCAGGTGTCTGATCGTCTCCGGCTCTTGGCCGCATAGAAGGCATCGCGGGTGGTGCTGCAGGCCACGGCGTGCAAGCCGCTCCGCTGTCCAATAGCGATCTTGGCAAGCCAGCCAGTGGAAAAATTTCACTCTTGGCGGTGCCCAGCTCCTCCAAATGAGCTTCCAGGAGTGGCAGCCCATCGCGCCTTGGAAGGTTGCCCGGTAGCAGGACTGAGCAGTGTACACGCCGTTAGCGGTCCAGCTCCAGAGCAGCTTGTCCGGCTCGTTGGACAGCTCGACGTGCTGCACAAGGTGCCAAAGCTTCAGGTACTGTCCAATCTCGGGAAGGCCAAGCAGCCCATGGATGTCGCGCACCCAGCTGTTGCCGGCCAAGGCCTCCGCCACCGTTCTCGATTTCCGGCGATGCTTGGGGATGCACTGGAAGAGCATGGGTGCAAGCTCGCGAACGGACTGGCCGCCGAGCCAGCGGTCCTCCCAGAAGAGGGCGGTCGAGCCGTCCCCAATGGCCATGGTCGTGGAAGCGTGAAAGAGGGCGCGCTCTTCCAACGAAAACTGCAGGTCCAGCCCCTGCCATGCGCGCTCAGTGTCCGTATGCGCAAGCCATAGCCAACGTAGCCGGAGCGCGAGCCCCGTGCGCTCGAGATCCCGGACACCTAGGCCACCATATTCGAGCGGGCGTCAGACCCGGCGCCAATTCACGTGACAGTGACCACCGTGGGCGTCCGCGCGGCCGGCCCAAAGAAAACCTCGTTGAATCTTCTCAAGTTGCTTCAGGGTTTTCTTGGGGGTGCGAGCGCGAGCAATTGGTGAATTGGGATCGCGCTGAGCACCGACTTGACAAGCGCCAGCCGACCAGCCTTGTTCATCAGCCATGCCTTCCAGGTAGGGAGCCGGCCCGCCACCGCATCGACGAGAGGTTGCAGCTGGGCCGCGGAGGGGCGACGGGTGGTGAGCGGGATGCCTAAATAGGTGATCGGCAGCGTCACCACGGGGCACCCGAGCAGCTCAAACAGTCCCGCGTCAGAATCATCGCCGTGGAGAACCGTGGCAGAACTCTTGGTGTAGTTCACCTGGAGCCCAGAAGCCGTGCCAAACACGTCCAGGATGCCTTTGACAGCGGAGACCTCCTCGATGGTGGCGTGACAGAAGAGCATCACGTCGTCGGCGTAGAGGGAGATCGCTGTTATTGCCACGATCCTTATAAAATTTGTAAATTATGTGACTCCCTGCATGTTAAAAAACGGGCAGCCCGGTGCACGTAGCTCCCGCTTGTGCAGGGTCCAGGGAAGGGTCCGACCACCTTGGGTCTACAGTACGCAACCTTTCCGTACATTTCTGTAAGAGGCTGTTTCCAGGACTCGAACCCGTGACCTCATGGTCACAAGGCAACAGCTTTACCGCTGTGCCAAGGCTCCCCTTCACTCCCCGCATGTTAAAATCAAAAGAAAACTATTTTTCTTAACTTTGCTTCTCACTGGACCCACAGACCCGCTCAGCCCATCTGCTTTAGAGTCTGGATACGCTTGAGATGCCCAATGATGCGGCACTACTGCGTATGTGTTGTCCTGGTTCAATGGGGCCATCAACAGCTATCGTGGATACAAACGACTGAGCGCAGAAGCATCATAACATGTATCATTCCATCTATATTATGGATAACAGGAACACAAAAGTAAATACACCACCGTAAGCAGAACTCTGTAATTATGCCTTTAATCCAGCAAATTAATACAACACGAAGCACTAGATAATAAGGGTTCATTCAGTTTGGAGGAAACCAAAACGTCAAAATTAGAAGTAGTATATGAATGTGATAGGATGGCATTTCCCAATTGCCATCGTAAGGAATTGCATTGCCTCGTTCCCATGCAAAACATGAGCTTTGGGTGGATGTGTAGTTTCCTCCAAAAACACAGGAATTAGAAGTAGTATAGGGAATGTGATAGGATGGCACTTGCCATCGTAAGAAATTGCATTGCCTCATTCCTATGCAAAACATGAGCTTTGGGGGATGTGTAGTTTCCTCCAAAAACACAGGAAAAGAATAGTATTCCTGAGGAATTCCTGTACTCGTTTCCTACAAACCGAATGCGTCTATAGGAAACTTTCCTCTGGAATCCTCATTCCTGTGTTTTTCCTACGGAAATCCTCCAAATCGAATGAGGCCTAAAGAATGTAGAGCAAAACTAGCAGAGAGAGGTACCTTGTTTGCCATTTCAACATTACAGCTTACGGGTGCAAAAAATAATTCATAGAGTCTAGCAGTTTGGTGTGACCTATAATAACATCTATTTCTAGATTGTTTTTACACGACAAAAATGCCTTCATGAATATTTTTTCAATGTGCCTAGACAAAAAAAGGAAGGCTGAGCTCGGTTTTTTTTGGAGTAAAGGCAGTGCCACATATCAGAAGTGTTCTCTTTTATTACAATCAGAAGTAGTGTTGTTTTTTATTGGAGTGAACTATTGGGAAAAGTGAATGCCCCATTAATTACATCATCATCACATCTTTCGCGCAAGTGTGTAGTCTGTTATAGACAGGTTTGCCAGCGAATGGGCTGTATGGTTACATTCTTCTGCAAATGTATACTACAGAGTTTTGTCAAGTTTGTTAGTGCAGAATGAATATCTTAAGTCCTGATTCTATTATGTTCTCTACATGTACTAGGGCTGGCGGAGGCGTATTACATATACATGGGAACGTCAACGACTCAGACGAGGCGCGCTGGTTGGACAATGTTGTCGAATCTATCAGTAGCATTGCGACAGCTCATGGTACAGTGTCTTTAGTTTTCAGCTAGCAAGCATTTGTTATTCCTGTCGAAACACATAACTCTTGTCCTTACACGCCATGGGCTGTTGTCTGTGTCTCAGGACTGTCTTGGAAAGTCTCTCTGGAGCATGTCGAACGAGTCAAATGGTATGGGCCGCACATTCGACATGTTGTAGCTGATGTCAGATGCGGGTCAAACTGACAAAACGAAAGCAGCTGAAGATGGTCCGTTTTATGCTTGGGGACTCTGGACTTAAGTGTAACATGCTCTCCCTTTTTGCTGTTCTTAAGGGAGGAATTTTTGTTATCCATCAGAGAATAAAACCATGTATATTGTACCCTAGAAAAGAAAAGAAGGAAGCATGTTCTGCTACTTTTTTACCCCTTAAATCAGCATGTTCTGGTACTTAAATATACAATAAAATATCCAGTTGTGTGTACATAGAGTTACTAGCAAAAGTGCTTATGGGTTGCAACGGATCCAAAATAGACTAATATATGTTCACAAACTTGAAAAAACACACTTCAGTCTTGGTACATATATCATTCAAACTATATTAGGTTTCACCCAAAGTTTATTCCTCTAATGGTCCAGAGAGACTTACTTTTTTTTGGTAAATACGGAGTACAGTGGTGGGGTCTTTGTAAAAAAAGTCATAGCTTACCTCATGGGCGTTAGTTGTATTGAATGATTAGAAATGATGAATTATATTGAATGGTCAGAAATGATGAATGATAGACACACACTCACCAATTGTATCATTTAATGGATGACACACTGAATCACCACCAATTGAATCTTTTATATAAGTTGTGATGATGAACTACTGTGTCTTCTATAGAAGTTGAGAGGATAACCTAAATGGTTTCAATATCCTTTGTTCATGTGCAATGGTATTTAACAATTGTTCATGGGAAATATCTAGTGTCAGGGGATCTTTCCTGCCTGGGAGCTCCCAGCTGTTGGACCATGGATCCAACGGCCCACGGGTGGATAGTTTGAGTGCATAATGGAACTATTAGCCTTCGGTTGAGAGGACATCTTATATGCTATCATTGTGACAGGGAGGTATATGTCGATACCACTCCACTCAGTTCCGATCGCTTCTTCCTTTTAAGAGCACTAGTGGACTCGTTGCGCAAAATGGCGCAGAGGCACGCTAAAGCCATGTCCGTGATGAAAAAAAAATCCATGATTTGATCCTCTCTAATTGGAAACACGCTGAAATATTGTGTATAATGATATGAATATACACGGCTTATCTTAATAGTATAGATGTCTTTCTCGGTAAAAATAGGTTTTAGCAACCACTTAGATGTAGGGTCCCATTTTAAACTATGATCGTTTTGAAAATCGATATGTGTGGGTGTATGCATGTATTATCATTACTCCTTTATTAATTAGCTAAATAAATGTGTGACAACTTGGCAATACTGAGAGCCTTTTGAATAATTAAACCTAATGTGATTTGAAAATGTTTCCCATCGTTGGTAAAATTAGAAACAATACCAAGGTAGACTCAGGGAAAACCAAAGAAGAATACTTCCTAAGTAGCAGAGAAGATTAGAAAGAAAACCAACGATTTTCAACTACCTATGCATATTGATCATATAAAGGATGAGCCCCTGCGCCCAACTAGCGGCCGTGGCCACGTCTCCTTTTTGCTTTTTGCGCGTGAATTACTGTAGCAGCGCGGAGATGGGGCGCTCGGGACTCTTTCCCCTCCTCTTGCCTCCGCCATTGCCTCCTCCCCTCTCCTCTCTCCCGTCTCCTCCCTCTCAACCCTAGCTGCCACCACCCACCCTCTACTGCTCCACCACGCACCCTCCTCCCCTCTGGATCAGGTGCAGGCCAGCCGGTGCGCGCAGGCGGCAGCGCTCCACTCGAGGGCAAAGGGAGGCAACGGCGGCGGTGGCCGCCGTGGACACCTGCGGCTATGGTGAGCCCCTGCGCCGCCGCCCTCTCTCCTCTCCTCCCCTACTCCCTCACCCATCTCTCTCCCCCGCAGACGAACCCCGCCGCCAGGAGGCCGCCATGGAGGCCCGTCCCGAGCTCGCCTCGCCGCTCCTCTGGTGACCCTCGTTGCGCCTGGATCCGGGCGGATCCGACGATTCCCCGACGCGCAGGCGGGCCAGCACGCGGCGCTAGGCGGAGGAGCCCTCCCATGGCGGTGTCAATGTACGTGTGTGTGGATAAATTTCGACAGGATATGCAACCAATCTGATTGTGGATATGTCGTATATGGAAATGATGCTATAAATCTGCTTATAATAATTTTGTGATGCTCAGATTTGTTCAGATAGGCTCATTTTTTCAGTAAAAAGTTGCTTCCCCCATTTCATTGCAGAAATTTTGGGTTGCACAATAATAACCTTCAAAATAGTAATTTCTACTATAGAGTCTTCTCATGATGATTTCAGATTAATTATTAATAGCTGCTGTTTGGTCATTTCATAGAATGCTTCTGGTATTAATCATATTGTCACTCGGATTGATTCATTCATTTTTAGGCAATACTCAGTTGTTCATGGCAAGATACTTTTAGGAATAAATTCAGTCGTACTGCGCACTTTTTGTATTTCATGTCTATTGAGTAACACTATGACAATAAGCTAATCTGGCACGGAAGGAGCATTTCTTACTTTTGTTTTCGCTGCCCAGTTAATGTTTATGGGTAAATCTTACCAAATTATTTTATGAGATTGCCAAACGAAACAGAACCCCAATAATATGCATGTCTTTTCGCTGTGACATAATGTTCTGATTAGCCTGTAGTTACCCGTTGCATTCCCTTCTGTGATAGATATCCCATATTTGCAATGGTACAACTCAAGGCATTATATAATCATGTGTTATTCTAGAATATAACCAAGGTGAACTTTTTCGGTTTTAGACCAAAGATCAACTTCATCTCTTCTAGAGAAACAAGCTATTTTGTGTGTGTGTGTGTGTGTCTATATATATATATATATATATATATATAGTGTTACTATTCATCATCCAGGGTGCATAATAAGTTATTCTTCACCCGAGGTAATCTTACGATCATTTCATAATTAAATTTCATATATTAGTGATCTGCATAAATGGATGTCTCTTTTTTTAAGTATTTTCATATTTTGATTCCTGCCAATTTGATGTATCAACAAGTACTCTCAGCACAAATCAGTATACGCACCACATAAATAGGTTTTAAAAACTTTCAGACTGAATGAAGAATGAATGTGGAGCAACTCACCATGTTAACTTTGTAGGGTGGTGGGTTTGCCATAGGATATGCACTGGCCAGTGTGCGCATGCCGGTGTACGCGCACATGATGTACCTCAAGATCTCAGTTCTCACTGTGACCATAGGTATGCTCAATGGTTTGGCCTAAACTTTAAATTAGTCATGTGTTGCATTTGTGGTCATGCAGGTGCATCTAACAACAGAAATCCAATTGATGATTGTTGATTATGCTATTGCTTATGGGGCCTTTCTTAAGAGTTGAGAAGGTAGTTAAATTCCTTTTTTTACTGAACCTATGATAATTGGCTCTAGACATCACACAGACTGGTTCTCAAGTGCTATGTACAAAAGGCTAGAATAGTTATATCCCAATCTGCTTGAGCTGGAACAATACCTAAACAAAAGAACTAGAAGTACGGTTGTACAAACAATTGTCCTATTTATTCTGTTATGTTCCGCCATGGTACAAGTGGTGAGCAAAATCTGAAGTTAAAGGAGGCATTGACGGCTCTTTGTTACCATGTTCATTTTTGGTTTCAATGATTTCGATGATGAATTCGCACGTCTCAATGTCTTCCTCTGGCTTAGCATGCAATTCCAATGTTAGATACTTATTTGTACAGAAGATAAGCATATAATCCTCTGTAGTGAATAGGCAGAGCAACAGCAAAGGCCTGCCGGTGTGAATTTCTCAGAATGGGAATTGCTACAGTGGCGGCGACGACACATCAGCAGCGGCGGTGCAGCAGTATGGTACCCTGCCTCCACCTTGCCACCAGCCTCCTCTACCTCGCAATGGCGGTGTCTCCGACCTCCAACTCTGGTAACCCCATCCTCCTCTGCGACCCATGTGATATTTTTCTTGCTACGACCCACATTGTCTGCTACTTTTTACTCTTCAGTTATGTTCTGCGCTTTTGTGGCTACCTGACCACCAATTGTTAAATTAGTAATACTTGGAAACTGGTTCTTACAATGATATTTACTAGAGTAGATGAACAAGTTGTACCAGCATTGCCGTTCTGTGTACACCGCATGAGTTTTGTTAGTTGCATATTTTTTTATGCTAACGTTAGGAAGTCCAATGATGACAATATTCCCCTTAACACGATCATCTTTACAGATATCTGAATAGAACAATATTTTTATCGGCAGGGAAAAGAAAAGGTTGATTTCTGCAGTCAGCTAGCTTCTTTTGTGAAGTTCCTTACCCATGCTTCATACGGCTCACTATTTGCTTTCCGTTTTTGGGTAGACCATCAACCAAGTTCAAATAAACAAAAACATGTGCAACGCGTTGATGAAACTGATATTCACCTTTGTTGCTGTAGGCATTCAAGACCTGGCAGGGCTGGGTCAACCGGCCCTTCGTGTTCAAGACCCGGCTCTGATGAGCCTTGGCAGCCGTGCTACCTGCTTGGCATATTCATCCTGAGCTGTGTCCGGAACCAGACCAGTAGGGGCACCCTGAGCGAGCACTCGAGGCATGCTGTCAAGTTGGACGAGTGCAACCAGGCCAGCTACAATGTGTGTCCACGGTTCATACAGCAATGTGTTCGC